TATTATTGTACTCCTATTAAATGTCTAACTTAGTGAAAACCCTAGATGTATGTGTCTTATTAATGAGCTCCTGAATCAGAGGGAGTAAGTACTTGTTTTTAATAGTACTCTTATTAAGACAATAATAATCCTAGACTAGACAGAGCTTCCTATCTTTCTTTTTGACAAAGAAGAAAGGGGAGGCTATAAGGGACTTTAAAGGTTGAATCTGACTGTTCTGAAGATTTTCCTGAAGGAACTTGTTAAGTACCTCCTACTTGTCTCTGTTGAGTAGGTAGACCTTACAATCCTTAGGTTGGAAACTCTTAGTCAATTCAATTGTATAGTCTTAGAGACAGTGTTTAGAAAGCTGGTCAAATTCCTCTTTACTAAAGACTTTAGAGAACTCTTAAATGAAATCTAGCAGGCTGGGTCTATATGTGTTCTAGAGTAGAGTTGTTCTGAGAGGGTTTCAGACTGGTTCCATCTTAGACATCCTTCAGATTGATTCTGTTCTGTCTTGACTAGAATATGTGTCTACATATCTATCCTAGTCAAAGAAGAACAACTAGTCACCTTTATCAGAACTGTTAGTAACATTAGAAGTGTCTGTATCTACTTAGAACAGTAGTACAAGGTAGTTGTAAGACTTGAGACACTGATTAAATGTAAGTGTCTACTCTAACTAGTTAATAGTAGGGTTGTGAGTTTTAAGCCATTCAAATCTAATAAAGATGTCTGTCTTTCTAAAGTTAGTGACTCTGAACTCAATACTTTCCTTATAATTCTGAATAGTCATCCATAGTTGGACAAACTCAGTAATCTGACCATTCTGGTTCAGGGTTCTGTCTATATTGTATACTAGGATTAGAAGTAGAACACATTAAGTAGGGAGTAGTATTCCTACACAAAGGCCTTATTAATGTACAAACTAGTGTATCTACTGTCTACTAGAGCTATTGTTCAGATCTGGGAGGATCCTAAGAAGGGAGCTAAGAGGATAGGGACCTAGAGCTAGTACTTAGAATGTTCTTAGATAAACTACTACTTGTTCTGAAAGGAATGTACAGCTTGTACAGTCTTATTATCTGAGAGAGTAAGTATATACACTAACATTTCCTTATTAACCTCTCTCTTTCAACAAGGACAGACTCATGTTCTCAGCTATAAACTCAGCTAAGACTATCCTTACTTGATACTATAGACAAACTACTGAGTAGTAAACAGGGCTAGGTAGTGTTCTAAACATTCTAAGATTTTAGAATATAGAAGTAGTAGGTTAGATTGTACAGATTTAGACTTGGATAAAGTGTAAAGAGAAGAATCAAAAGAATCAGAAGAAATAGGAGAACTATCTACTTTTGTTTTTGACTTTTTTCTTTCTAATAAATAATTTTGTTGATTTACTTTTTCTACTTTTTCTACTTTTTCTACTTTTCTTACTTTATTTACTTCTAATCCTACAGTGTCTATTGAATCAAAAGTAACTATTAAAAAATCTGAGTCATAGCCCTTCAGTACTGTATTTACTGTTAGGCCTCTACAAAATCCTAGAGTATATAGTCAGGGTTTAGGAGTTTAGAGGTGACTTCTGGATTTGTAGAAAAGGCTTCTTACTACAAATCCTACTTGTTACTCATTATTACTCTAATGACCTAACAAATATACTATTACTTCTGTAGACAGTCCTTAATCTAGTGCTCTGACTTTCTGTAAGTAAAGTATGCTCCTTACTTTCAGGCTTCTTTAATGTCTATTAGAACAGATTAATTATGAATTACAGGCAGATTAATCTAAGAGTCTAGAACTGTTAGAGCCAGACATATGTGTAAGTATTCTATACAGACTTGACACATCTGAGTTACAGCTTGGTTGAAGGAAATGGTGTGTGTCTTCTACTCAGTGTAAGTGACCAGTTCTAACATTATTCTGAGAATCTTATTAACTAGTTCTAAGTGAAGAGCTTTTTTAAGCATTCTAATAAGAACATTATCAAACCTAAGTGTAAATCCTACCTTCTGGGCTAGGATATCAAACTCCTGAAAGAAGGTGTTAGTAGAATGTTTGCCCTGTTATAGAGATACAAGTTTGTTCTATACATTATACTTCTTATTCAGATTAATGAAGGAAGTACAGAGCTACCCTATAAATTCTGAATACAACTTATTATTCTAAAGTCAGATTAGGCTTCTAATCTAATAGCCTTTAATCCAGTTCTAGGCCTAGGTGGCTGTGTTGCCTTCCTTCATGAAGGAGAGGACAAATAGGACACAATTAAGGTCTAAGGATAGGTTAGTTAAAGTAGTAACTATGTATAGTTTAACTTAGTACTAGAAGTTCTCAAAGTACTACTTATTAAAGTTTGAAGGGTAGGCTACATACACTTTCTTTATAGAACAGGTTGCAACTTCTGGAACAATCAGAACAGGTTCTAAAGGGGCTGAGAGTATGTAGTTAGTAAAAACCTTTTAGATAGAGGTTTACACATATTAAGCTAGTTCTACTTGTAACTACTAATCTGGCAGGACAGTAGGGGTGACAGTCAGTGTAGAAGAGTCTATGTTTACACTACAAAGGAATCAGTACTAAACTAAAAGGGGTAATGAATAGAAGAAGAGTAGTAAAAGTTTAAAAGGGTTTAGAAAGTTTAAAATTTAAAAATATAAAAGGGTTGGGACAAAGAAAAGAGATTGACACAACAGTAAGTACTGATGCTCAAAATGTAGGAGAGTTATAGAGTAGTAATAGGTAGTCTTAATCTAATGTTAGCAACAGTGTAGAGGGGACCTGAAGGCTTAGTAAGGGGACTCAGACTACAACTATCTTACATAATAGAAATATAGAATACAAGTACTAGAACATAGTTAGAACTTACAGAACAGGCAGAGAGAGAGAGTGAGACAAGAGTAGAGTATATAGAGTAAGCCTAAGAGTACAGAACTACCTAGAGTAGACAAGATTAATACTACAGGACTAGTCTGATCTTATACACCTATATATACTAAACTATACAAGAGTACTCAGAGAGTATGAGCTACTAAGAATGATAAGCTACAAAGAATGAAAGAAAGGAAGGTCAAAGATAAAGGTACAAAGAATGAAGGGATGGACAAAGGGTAAGAGACTATAGAATGAACAAAGAATGAAGGGGTAGTTAAAGGAATAGAATGATAAAGTAAGAAAGGGTAGTAGTAAGAGTTAGTACACATATAGTCTATAGACAGCACCCCTGAGGGACAGAAGTCCTGAGTTCTGGTACAGAAGAGTGTAGAACCCTTAGAACTGAAGGTACAAGAGTAGAGAACTGTAACACAAACTGGGTAAGATAGTTAGTAAGTTTCTTATATACTGTGTATAGTACATCTTTTAGTTATAGTAGTATAGTAGTAGGAAACTCTTGTATTGCTTTATAGAGACTGTTCTGGAGGTGTAAAAAGTACCCATATACTGAAGATAAGGTAGGAATCTTTGTAGCTGACATAGTAGTTGTTGTATGTCAAAAATAATAAAGCTAAGATAATACAAGCTTAATTGTAGCCTAGTCCTTTGTATCAAGCTCATAGTTGTAATACTCACACTTAGCACAAAATGTGTCTATAGCCTTTTGAAAGTAGAGTGTACAACCTGTAAAATTGAATTAGAGATATATAAATGTGTAAAATATTACTTACAAAGTATATAGTAAGTAGAAGACTATTGTGTTAAGACATTAAGGATGAGTATGAGAGCTATCTAGCCTCTTTCTTACTCCTTCTCTGATAACATTAGAGTAGTAGCCTATACCTACTCCTGCTAGCATTAAGGACTTGCTCTTATTATACAAACAAATTTTCTTAACTTTAAAAAGACTTAGACACTTTTCAAGTAATATATTACTATTTACTCACTTTTACAATAGAAATAATAGTATTAGACATATCCTTCTCCTCCTCACATCCATCCTTACAAATAGCTTCCTTGTCTTTGTCTACAGGGTTTATATCCTCCTAATAAGTACTAGCAGACTTATTAACATAATCTATAGCTCCTAGAGCTTTAAGGAGCTGTTTTAATAGTGTAAGCATTAGAGGAAATAAAGTAATGAAAGAGACACTTTCCTTCATAACTACTAAGTAGACTGTATAAGGTATGTATTACATTCTAGTATTACTAGAAGAGAAATCTATATTGTTACTATACATTTTTCCTCTAATGTACTATAGTATAGTATTATTGTTTGTAGTATTGTCACATGTAATTGTAATTAGCTACATGAAATACAAGAAGTAGATAAAAGATGTGAGAAGAATACAAACTTGTATTATGTAAGCAAAGCTGTACCTTCTCTTTAATACTATACTACTTAATAACCTACTATACAATAGTACCCAAATTATCTCTACTATAGTAGTCAGATATCTTCTCAAAAGTAATAAGCTTTTCATTTAGAAATAATTTAGTAGTCAAAACTTAGATTATATTTAGATATACATACCTAACTGCCAGTTGTTTGTAATGTAATGTATAGTAATGGCCAAAAAGGCATATTTATTACTAGACATTCATACATCTAAGGATAGTGAAACCTTAAACTCTAGACCCTGTAACAGAGTAATACAATTAGCACAAGCATTCTCAGCTGTAGCTCTTAACAAGCTTACTAGTATAAACAGTTGGTTGAGTCTACTATATGTATGGTTGACCTAAGTGACCTAAAGAACCTGCAGAATTGGAGAGAAAATAAAGAGATGAGTGTAGACTTACCTGGATCATTACCTTTGTTCTTTGAAAGTCTTCAGTCTTCATATCTTGAATGTTACACTTTACTGTATTACTTAATAGAATAGAAAGATTTCCAGCCTAGTAAATGTATTACAAAAGCCTTTAGAAGGTAGGATCCTCTGTGGTAGTAAATGGTTGATCAGTCTTAACAACCTATTCTACAAGGAATTGCTTGAAGGTTGTATACTCCTAGAGTACCTATAACAAGGAAAAAGAGACAAAATTAAAATATAGACATAAGTAAATAATAAAGATCTTACCATTTTCTTGTTCTCTTACTTTTGAAACATCTCTACAATATTATTAGTATCAGGTAAGTCCTTGACAATCTCTCTAAGCTCCTCTCAAGTGAGTACTGTTAAGGAAACCACATTAAGCAAGTCTATGTTGATTATGTAAGCAAACATACTTGTTTGATTCACAATGTCTATCTCTTCAGAAGTAGGCAAGCATGAAGCTGTTACTACTCTAAGGAAATTGTAGAATGAAAACATGTCACTATAGCTTTCTAGATACTGTCTGAGACCTGAAAAAAGTAAGATACATATTAGAAAAAGTACTAGTAAACCTACCAGTCTTGCTTCCATACATTGCTTGCATTATCTTCAGAATCTTAGAGAGTCTATTAGTATGAGGATGGCAGTACTAGAAATACTTGGTTCCATCCTTAGCATAGCTATTAGTATCACAAGGGACTTGTTTATAGAACAACATGATACAGTTTGACACCTAATTAAATATGTAAAGAAAACACATGAAAAAACTTGGATATTGATACAAAAACTTACTTTAGCTTTACTTTAGTCATCTTAATCATTAACAGCAACTGAAGACTCATCATTTTTCTGCTGAGAGACTACTATTAATGTGCTTTTTGTATTTGCAAGAGGATGTCTCTTTGCCTAAAAGACTTGTAATATGTAAACACATCCAAAAAAGCAGTTTTCTTACCTGTACTGTTTTCTTTAGTGTACCTAGTCACAGAAGAGATTCCTAAGTGTAAAAATGCTTGTTGTGAGCTTTAGAATAATAGTATAGAGGGATATGTACTTACTTCTTTATCCTTGCTTTTATCAGACTCAGAATCCATCTCCTGAACAGATGTATCCTCATCATCTATACTCTCTATTAGGACTGGGTGACTAGTAGTACTCAGGTCCTTACTCTTCCTTACTTAAGGTTTCTTCAATGTATTAGTATTCTTACAGAGCTTTGCTAACTGAACACACTACTTGGGGGTCAGCATTTCTCATATGACACACAGGCAGCTTTTTTTGGGGCAGAGCTTAGATACCTACCAAATGTAGTAGATACGATCAAAATGCATGTTGACAGTCTCGAGAAGAGAAAAAAAAATTCAAATCAAGAAGATCTAAAGAAATCTTCTTGATTTTAAATTACAGATCAATTGTCTGATGCTAATCAAGATCACCAAGCACTTCTGCAGTACTTATTTTGAGTTGAACGTTCGTTTTGAGACTCAATGTGTGTGCACAAATTGTTGCCAAGTCATACCTCTCGGCTGAGGTCTTCTGGCAACCTGTAAAATTAGTTATTACATTCTGAGTAGTACATAGAGGTTTATCATACACGAATATACAAAAATATAAGCAAAACTAATGAAATGAAGTGGATTTGAGTGTATACACATAGTTGTGTCTCACTCTTAATCACCAACAACCACTTGGAGACAATGCTGAAGCTTTGGATTTATCAATTAAGCATTGGTTTTCACTTTATTACTTGAGAATTACATTAAGAAGACAAAGAAATCAGTGAAATGAAGTGCAATAAGTAAATTACAGTATAATTTATTGATTAGTATCCATCCAGTCTAATGCTGCTAGAAGTTCCCTCAATTTTTCTGCCTTAGTCCTTATCCTAGAGTCTATGGGTATCTGGGTATCTGTCTGTCTAAGCTTGTCTAGTTGTGCTTTGAGTTCTGTTGCTTTCATCCTGTTTACTATGTCTCGATCCAGCTGTATCTTGACTGTGTCAAGTTGCTTATGCCCCATACTAACTGAAGAGCTTTGTATTGTCTTTTGAGGACTCTGGAAAGCTGTTTTGGTATAATTCCTCCTGTACATATATTGTAAGTATGTAGGAGAATTAATTTTTATGGATTTGTACTGTACTGGCTTGTTTTGAGTGAGTACTGGCCACACAGTACCCCCCCATTCCCCATGAAAATCATACTGATGTCAAGATGTGTTTTGCTATATACAGTCATGTGTGTGTTTTTTTCTATTTTTTAGAAGTAGATCGTATATTTATCTCTCTTCTTGTAATTTGTAATAATAAATTATTTTTTTTGCATAATAAGTCCTTAAACATGAATATCTAAAGATTTGTGTGAGGAATTTCCTTAATTCTAAGTATTTACTGAGATACATGTGCTGTACCTACAGTATCTTACTCAATTTTCTAGTTATTTAAATTTCCTCACACAAACTTTTAGATATTCATGTTTTATTAATTTTAAAGATTTTTATTTATTTTTTTATAATGTATTGAGGGAGGAGATACATGTATAAAACCACAAGAAAACTCTTGACATACAAATTGCATGCCACCATCACAGCATCTACCATGGGAACAGCCACGTCTTACCTTAGAAATGCTGACCCCCACACTACTGTTTGTTGTTAACAATGTTGCCTGAGTCAACTTTGTCCTGTTGCTTCTGCTTTCCACTATTTGTTGTATCTTCACTCATCCTGTAGTACTAACAATAAGAATTAATAATATACTATGTATTCTCAAGTTTGAAAGACTTACTAGTGTATAGGAAGCACTTGAAGGTACTGTTTGGTGAATGTGTAGGAGACTGTGACTACAAAAAAATTCACTCAGTACAATCTAGATGTTAAGTATTCACTTGAAAGTATATATAACCTATCCCATTTCAAGCTACTGTACTAAGATTGATTTGAATAAGTCAGACCTTGCAAATATTGCATCAGAAAAATATTACCAGCTACTGTATCCTACCAGATCTAGGGTCCAATTGTTAAGCTGATCACCTTTGTCATTGTACTACTCAAATCTATAATCACATTGTTAGCTTTTTTAAGAGTGGTTAAACTGTTATAGAGTTCTTGTGAGTACTAAGAGACAGTATGGTCTACAAATTTGAGCAAAAAGCTACAAAGACTGAGGTGAGTATAACTGTGAGACAGATGATCACAGATCTCATAAGGGCATTACTAATGAAAAGATTATCTTGATAGGTATGTAGTACATTCTGAAGAAACATATCTATATGGGGAAAAGATACCTAGAAACAACAAGGATTATACTAGACATGCATAATCAGTCTCTAAACCAATTGCCTATAATGTGGCTCACCTAGACAAAAGAAATCCTTACAGACATCTTCATACAATGTTACCTACTTCTTATCAAGCATCTATCTTGTTTAACAGATGATTAATATTACTGAAAGCAGCAGGGGGAAGTAGGACACTAGTGATGGAGTAAGAGATAGTTGGGGGGTGAGAGGAATGCTAACTGTGCATATTATCATGCATACAAAGTTTGAGTTTAAGGGCAGGTACAAAGAAGCAACCTATCTATAAAAGGCTGTTGAATTGATCAATGTCAGATTAAATAGGGAGAACTGCTGATCTCCTAGGTCTCTTGTGTACTGTTTATATGTTGTATATGCTGTATACAGGATTTTTTGGGGCAAAGTATATGCATACACATGTAAAAATACATACATATTTTCAGCTCCAAAAGTCATTTATGATACACTGTGTAACTGTATACACTGAAGGTGTAACTGTAAATTATACTACAGTGCAGAGCACTACACAATAGTAATGATGTGTGATTCAGCAACTTGAATTCGATTGTGCCCTGGATGACTACTAGAAGACCAAAAGCGTGCCAGTGTTCGCTCCTTCTTAGGATCATTTTGCCTTCGAACTTACACACTCAACCAACCTCTCCATTCCGAATCATTGCAAGTTCTACTAAAGCTTTCTGCCAAAGTCAAATCATTTACAAATAGATGTGTTGTGGGTAGGATATTCCAGAAGTGAGTTCTGAACTTCTGAATGTGTGCAATGCTGTCATTGTCCCAAAATAACAATGTATTGTCCCCTTTGTAGGAGAAATGTGCAGATATAACCATTCTATATTTGTGAAGATATTATTGGCAGGTGAAGATTACAGTGCATAGAAGTTGAATTGGATCAAGTATAATGTTTTAAACATGCAAATATCTTGGTGTTGTCCATGTTGAAATCCTCATTCATAGAAGTATTTATTTTCAGACTGGAAAATTTCTGTTTCTGGATTTTGTGGCTCACAGGGTGGCTGATCAGTGACTGTTGACAATATCTTCTATATCATGATAAAGTGCCACTTTCTTGCTACGTAGATGCACCTATACTTTGTCACTATTAGTCAAGGCACAACAAAGCTCTCAGCTGCCCTACTACTCCAACCTACAGTAAGCAGCTTACACAAGTAAGAATGCTAGTTTCTTGTATTGTAAACTCAGCTGACAACAACACTCTGTTGTACTAGTCATGCTTGATGGATCGTTTTCGTTCAAGTTCTGCAAGACAGATCCAAGTCACAATGACCAGTTCAAGTTGTTTATGCACAATCAGCAGGCGTTTGTTGCGAAATTGTTGTGTATTGAGACAGGTATAGGAATGATAACTGTACACAAAGTCATTGGGGAGCACCCAGGAGTTGTCCCACCTGATTATTGGAACAATCTCGGTCCAGCCACTGTAGACCTGCCTAGTAACTTTGTTAAGAAAGGGGGAAGAGAGGTTATGTGAGAGGCTTAGAGGGATCACACAGAGAGGAGGGATAGTAGACTCGGCTCACTCTCTTGCAGCTTGCTTCATTGTCTGTTGATTAGTTAGTCTATATATACTATGTAGGTATGTCTCAGATGTAGAATGTATGATGGAAGGTATTCCATCATCGTTCGTCATTACTTGTAATGTAGTTTATATCATCTGAGACATACTCTTGTGTAGTCTCATCTTAACACTCCCCTTCAAACTCTTACTAGGTCTAGTAGACTTGTAAGATGTTTGCTTGCAGTATGTATAGATAGTTTAATCATTATAACTGCATTGTACAATTGTTCGTTTGTGTAATGCATTTATAACTTGATGTAGTTAATAATAATATTATTAGCATTATAGTAATACATTGTCTGTTCTGTGTACTGTCTGTTCTGAATGTCATCCACTTTGTGTTAAGTTTGTCTGATGTTATATTAATTAATTATATTTAATTAGTTTGTTCGTTCATAATATACTGTTGAATAACAGTATCATTATCACAATAGGTTGTTTGTAAATGTTATTAAATAATTTGTAAATGCTTCAGAGACCTGCAGAATCTTGTCAGCATGTGTAGGTACATATATGTGCATATTTAAATCATAAATGTAATTGCTTGTTTTGTTTTATTGTTTGTTATTCAGTCATATTGTTTGTTATTAAGTTTGTTTGAGTACTCTAGTAATTTCTTTTTTTACTTTACTGTGAAACTAATGAATCATGCTAGTAAAATGTATATTTGATGTTGTAATAATATCCTTCTTTAATCATTACTGTCCACGTTCGTCTACGTTTGTATATGTGTTAAGCATTCAGCAATAGCTGATTTATGTCTTCAGATTGAAGCATTGCATCAATCATATATTGTAATATTAATAATAATATTTGTTTTTGCCAGATTGCTTCATTCTAAGATTAATAAGGTTTTATGCTAACATATATTTGTTGCATAGATGTTATGTCTGGCTGCAGGCATCTTGCTATGTGTCTAGGTGCATTGTATATGTATTATATCATAAATGTACTGTTTGTTCGTTCACTTTACATTATTGTTTACAGTTATGTATTAATTTATTAACATTATGTTTGTTAATTGATTGTTTCTAATGCATCCTGAGTAACTATACAATCTGTTGTGTTGTTTCTTTAATAGCCAACATAGTTATCTGTTGTAAATCATTTCTATTGTGTGTTTGTATTATTTATCATTAACAATGTTATTGTGAATTGTTGTGATTGTAGTATTGTGTATATATATGTGTATATGTTATGGCTATTGTTCTTTGCTTTTTCTTTTGCAAAGAATAATGTATTGTAACACAATCTGTATATAAGTGATATATCAGATTATGTTTACTATAATTGTCTCCTAGTGTTCTTTAGTTAATCTAGTGCTATGCACAATTGTAGTATTCGTTTGATGTTTTATTTATTAATTGGTTTGCTAGGTAAAACGTTTTATATATTGGTTTTATTTATTTTATTTGAATCATCATATAGATATACCTATTAGTATTTATCCAATGTATTTCATAGTATTATAATACTGTTCACACTTGTATTAATTGCACAGTGAGGGCAAATTAATTGTTTGTACAAGAATTGATTTAATAGTTTTATTTAATTATATGTATGCACTCCATACTTGTTTATATAGTTATTATCTGTATATTGTTCAGTTGTAGTTGTAAATTATATTGCAATTATATTTGTATTATCATATAGATATATTATTTATTGTTTTATGTACGTTCCAAAGTATTATTTTCGTTATTCATCACTTTTATCTATGAACTATAGTCTGAATTGATGAATTATTTTGTTATATAATGTGATAATTGTCTGTATATTATTTATTTTCGTATTAAACACTGTTAAGTTAATTATATTATTGTATTAATATTATTTGCCAAGTATGAGCATTTGTTTCATAGTAGAATTATTATTTATTTAATGTTGAAGTTCAATCATACATTGTGTTGACTTCTGTTATTTAGTTCTGATCAACATAATTTTGCTTCGTACCAAATGATTTACCTTTATGATCCGTTATGTCTGTCCATAACTTCTATTACTTAGTCAGTGCTTAATCTGTACATTTTGTTATTCTATTTTTCGTAGTGTCTGTAGCATTATACTTTCTGTTCTGTTGTTTATATTTAGTTATTAATTGTTTGTGCATATTATCCATTTTCTCCCCTTCAATTCAAGAAGGTATTTCTTTAAAGAATTGGATATTTCTTTAATGTTTATTAATTGTTGTTATAATATAATATTTATATATAATAATTGTAATTGCTTTCATAGTTTGATTTCTAATTATTAGTATTTTAAAGCTGTGTGTAATGTTTGTTATGTTCTATAATAAGTAATTTAAGTGGTATTACTATTATATGTTTGTTACTGTTAACATTCGTCAACTTATATAATGTGTATTTTGTTCATTATAGTAGATAAGTACACATTATGTATAATATATGAGTTTCGTTCACACTTGTTATCTTTTATTAATTATTGTTTGTAATTATGAATGAATATTTTGTTTTTGTGTTGAAAACATATGGTAATTTGTTTGTTTTTGTATAATATTCATTTAATAATGTTGTAATTATTATTTATGTAGTGCTTTTAGTAAATGTGCTGAGTTCTATTAAGTATGCTTGTGTCCATTATTACCTATTTTATATTATACTGTCTGAGATAATAGCTTAAACATTTTATTAATTTATTTAATCATATTATATTATGATTGTTTTCGATCATAATTATTATAATAATGTGTTTGTAATAATAATATTTGTATTATTCGTTGTAATAGCCTTATTAGCTTAATACTTTGCTCCTACAAGCTACATTGTCACAATGTAAATTTAATAATCGTTTGTTAAGGTATATATGCTGTACAGTTGATGTTACTGTTGCAACTTCGAAATTTATTATATAATCAACTGCTGTGAAAAGACATTCTGTGTAATTAAGTTGTATTGATACATTGTTTTGAGTATATTAGAGATATAATTCTTTCGTTTGTTGTTAGTATACATTTACACAATTGTATTAATGTGTAAAGTAGCATCATTTGTTTAATAGATATAATTTTGCACTTGTTTTGTGCTGTAGTTAATATTTATGTGTTATAACATTATTCTTTCGTGTGTAGTTAGTTTATACACTCTGTAGCATTGTTTTTTGGTTTGTAGTTATTCATTATACTTTTGTATATCTGTACTCGTCTGTATATCTTAGATATGTGTATTATATTTGGTATCTGATAAGTAATTGCAATATCTGACATGTAACTGCTGAATCTGATATGTTACATATAATTGCTCAACCATAATATGTGTTAGTTATTATATTGTTCTGTATTCGTTCTGTTAGTTCTATCCATATTATTATTATTATTATTGTTATTATTGTTGTTATTATAGTGTCTGTAATTATATTATTGTTTATAATACATGTTAAATGTTTTATTTATTTGATTTAATATGCTGTTTAGCATATATGTGCTTGTTTTGAGCATTAATTGTTTGGCTGTGATATTACTATATGTGTTATTATTCGATTTATGCTATAACATATGTATGCTTGTTGACAGTGTCAATCATTTGTACTATTGTAATGTTAATAG